TGGAGCCACCGAACATCGGAAGAGCACACACAGAACTACACATAAATGTTACACTAGCGACAGTCGGAGAAATTAGCAAGGAAATCAGACAAACCGAGTAAAGAATAGAGGAGAACGAAAAAGCAATCTAGCTGAAGCACTGCATTTAGATTTAGAGGTAACTGCAAGGATATTTCACATACTTTTTCAGAAGGATTTGGTAGGAAAAACAATACCAACAGACTGGGAATAGGGATATCTCAGCAAGATTTCAGCTAATGTGAAATAAATACAGGTGCTATCGTCAGTACCTGACAAAGTTCTCGACAGATTGTAGGTATATCGAAGAAAAAACTAAGTAAATGTCAAAAGTCGAGATCGACAATCTGAGTTTTGTAAGGAAAGTCTAGTACAGACCTGGTCGTAGATACCTCATCAGAAATCTATGACCCAGGAACAACAGTAGGGTTAAAATTTACTATAAATCATTTTAAAAATTTACTCATCCACGAGGTACTTTGGCATGAGCCAAACTCTAAATATGAGGGTCAATTAAACCACTCAGTTTCCCAAACCAAAGTAGATGGAGGTGGGTTCGAAGCTGATACTCAGCGTCTGAATGTTAAATGCCTTAATCACTAAGCCACTGCGGAAAGTACTTATTGTTTATGAATGCTAGAGCAATTTTGTTTTCATGACGGATTGTAAAATGAAAATTTCTTATGATCAAATATTAACGGTGGAGATATACTTAGTTAACAAGCACTCGGAAATAGGACTATATATAACTGTATACCAAGAATTACATGATGACAAACGGAGGATGCCATGATTCGAGTCTTCAAAAAGCACTCATATAAGCATAATTCAGAAACATGAGCCCAGTGCTACATTTATATAGCATTTAGCTAAATTATTTTGATGGGGTTTTTCTCTGAGTTGGTTGATTTGGTTGTGGAGATTTCATCGTTCTTCTGAACGACATCATTAGCACAAAATTGAGGTAGAAGTGAAGTGTTCGAATTTCTTCACATGTGGCTCACATCTTTACATCCACCTAAGCTACAGATCTTCTCCACCATCTCAGCTAAATTATTTTTGTCTTACATTCATTTCAGTCAAAGTCTCCAAGGGGTCAAACACTAAAACAAAATGAATCGAACCAACATACAAATCTCACTAAGTGTCAGGAACAAATTTTATGAGAAATTTTGTCTGAATTTTAACAAATAGTTAGGCTCTTAGTTTATGAAAGATGTTAAGAAGGAAATTATACTTGTGAACAATCTGAGTGGTTGAAATTCTAATATGGATCCAATGTTTCTCTCGGTTGTCCAATCCAAGTTTCTTCAGTAGGAATAATCAAAATTATCGAATATAAATGTTTTGTTCACAAACTGACTTTGAATTAAAAGAATTGTTCAATTACTAAGTTCATCAGATGGGTCGAATCCGCTGGCCTCAAACTATCTTTTTTTGACTGTTTGGTTAAAAGGAAGCAACTTTTTGAAAATTAATGTATTCCGAAAACCAACACCTAGATTGCAGGTCACCACATGCCCTATCCACTAAGGTGAATTTCTAAGAATCTGCGACTCGTCACAGAACTGGAAGACGGATAAGCTGAGTAATATTTGGATTTTTCCACTTTGATGATGAATAATTATCCTATTGACTTTATAAGTAGAATTATTAATATATTCGGAAATATAAGCAAAAAAAGAATGTATTAAAGTGGTGATGGTCCCAAATCTCAAAGGAACTTGGGCAGAAATCAGAAGAATCCTGAATTATGACAATATAAGAGCATTTTTTCGAAGGAACAGTACTCTTAACTGTACACCAGCAAGAGTCAAAAACACAATATTAAGAGAAGAACAATTGTATTGTGTCTATGCGGTCAAATTTAATGACTAATGCTACATATATAGGTAAAACATCACAGCAGGTGAGTGTGAGAATGACGGGATACGGACTTTGCTTGAAGCATATTCCTAAATCCTTAGAACTTTAAAAACTAGAAAGCATTTAAGATGATAGCACTACATTCAAAAGAATTTGAACACACGGTTGACTTCAATGGGACAAGAGTCCTTTACAAAGCTTTTGGTTAGTATAAAGGAAGTTTGACAACTGAGATCCCCTGCGTATAAACGGAAACTCAAATGATATGAATAGAAGAGATGGAAAACAATTATCCGTACCACGGCAACTGGTAACTACCAAATAGATCTGAATTTGATCTAACTGCTGCTAATTCGTTTCATGTTTTGCAGACAACAACGGTATACTTTCATTTGTTCCAATTAGTTAATATGTCTAGATATAAAATGAACGACCAGCTCGTTCAGCATAATAACACAAACCTATATGAATTTATTATGAAAAGTTTAGTTAATTATAATATCTGTTTATTTATTTGAACACATGAACATTGGTACAAGAGAGCGCCAAATATATGTGCCACACAAAACAATGAGAATTCGAAGAGAAATAGAAAAAAAAACTAAGGAGCGCAAAAGAAAAAGAGAACAATAACGAAGAGATCGGTGTAAGGTAGTGTGGTACTAACGAGGGAACGGAAAGGTACAATCAGAAGAAATCTTTCAGGTAGGGAGAGACAACCACTTTTATGAAGAAAGTAAAAGAAGGTTACAGCGGGATCGCCATTGGCTTCTATTCTGAGCCATATCTGATAACGTCTCTAGCCAATGTGTTGCACCATCTCTCAGACCCCAACCAGGGAGTCGTGAAGTCAGTCCTTTGCAGCTTTCTTTCATACCACGACACCATGTCATGCACTGACCACCTCTCCGCTTCTTCCAACCAGTCCCAGAGTCGGCAAATAATGCACGACGTGGAATTCTCTGGAACGACATTCGGAGAACATGTCCAAGCCACCGAAGTCGGTGTTTCAAGATGGTGACACCAATTGAATTATCATCTCTGTGCCCGAACACACGATGCCGAACCTCTGCATTACTGACATGGTGTTGCCACTGAATGTCAGCAATCCTTCGGAGACAGCGATGATCGAACACAGAGAGTCGTCTAACGTCCTCAACTCGGAGAGACCAGGTTTCACAAGCATAGAGCAAAACTGCTCTTACCGACGCGTTGTAGATCCGACCTTTTACAGCCAGACTAAGATCACGAAGGCGCCAAAGGTGGCCCAGATTGGCATAAGCCGCTCTGGCTTTCACTATTCGTGCATTGATCTCATCACTCACGCCACCATCAGCACTTATGCAGCTACCCAGATACACAAAATTCCTGACTATTTCTATCTGCTCACCATCCAGGGTGAGTACAGGATTGGAATCCTGCCAGTCTTGTAGAAGTAATTTGCACTTCGAAGGTGCAAAACACATACCATACCTACGGACACTGATTGCCAACTGATTAAGTGCCGATTGCATGCCTTGGGCATTATCGCACAGTAAGACAATATCGTCCGCATACTCAAGGTCGAGAAGTCTTTCTCCAGGCAACAGATCCACACCACCATTACTTACATTCATCAGAGCTGTTTCCAGAATGTCATCGATGGCAAAGTTGAAAAGGAATGGTGAGATTGGGCAACCCTGCCTAAGTCCACTGCTCGAATGGAACAATGGAGAAAGGTGGTTGTATGCCCTCACTCTGCCTGAGGTGTTTGTATATAGGGCTTTTAGGATGTTAATAAACTTCTCAGGCACACCCTTCTTCAATAGACAATCCCAGAGAACAGTCCTATCCAACGAATCGAAGGCAGCCCTGATGTCAAGAAACACTACGATTGTTGGCCTTTGATAAGTATGGCGGTGTTCTAACATTTGGCGGAGGGTGAAGATATGATCAATACATCCTCGACCAGAACGAAACCCAGCCCGCTCCTCGCGAGTCAATCTTTCTCGGGTTTTGAACAACCTACGAAGTATGACGGAAGCCAATAGCTTGGATGCAATCGGAAGTAGACTTATCCCCCGATAGTTGTTACAGGAACGACGTGAACCCTTTTTAAAGATAGGGACAACTATCGACTCATTCCATGACGTTGGCACACTCTCTAGTTCTCAAACCTTTGTAAACAACGTCGTCAATTCCTTAGTCAAAAAGTCACCACCATCTTTAAAAAGAGCCAGAGGTAAGTCATCTGGGCCAGGTGATTTGTAACGCTTCAAGAGTTGGAGTTCCTTGCGCACTTCCTCCTCGTTTGGTGGATCAGTCGTCACCGGCCATGGAGGGCAGGACAGTCTGACCGATGTTGCCGGAGCAGCAGGCCAGTTGAACTGCCCTTCGAAAAATTCTGCCCACCGTCCAAGACGTCGATGGATGTTAGTGATTGGCATCCCATCATCCTCACAGATTGTTTCACTCACACCAGACTTCTTGCTGCCAGTGGCTCGGATGAGCTGGAAGAGCTTCCGGTAGTTACCAGATGCAGCTGCTGCTTCCAGCTCATTAGCACGCTCCGACCACCAGGCTTCTCGGTCATTACGCAAGCTTTGCCCAATTTCCTTACGTAACATCCTTCGTTTATGGTCTGTCAGATTGTTTAATTATATCAACGATCATAGAGTAAGGCCATATATGGTTAATAATTTTTTCTCACGTCAAATTTACGTACATACACATATATTACTTATCTTACCGAATCTTCTCTATGATTCACACCACATGACTGATACCCATACTGCAACAAACTCTCAGTATTATTAACAATGCTTAGACAATTTGTTTAGTACAAAATCAATTTGTAAACGCAATGTTTATATTCGATAATTTTGATGTTTGATTATTTCTACTGAAGAAAGATTAGACAGCTGAAAGAAACATTGGGTCCATATTTGAACTTCAACTGCTGAAATTGTCTACAAATATAACTTCCTTTCTAATGTTCATCAAGAAGAAATTTCCAAGTTCTGTAACAATATAAACAATATTTAGATTATAACAAGAATTCGATAGTCATAAACCATTGTATGGGATACTCTTTCATACTAGAAAACATTCGACAAAAATATACAAGTAGGGTTTACCTTGCGAGTTAAAATTTGCTTTCGTTCTTCTTTAATCTTATTACGCACCTCTTCGGTGTCCACTGAAAGGCAAAGTAACAATTAACTTGGTCAATGGAAGAGTAGTTAAGAAAACGAAAACATTTGTATGCATTCTTAATAACAGAATCCTTATTGAATAAACCGAATGTTTGCACAAACAAGTACATGAAAAGTCATATTGATTGATTAGGATAAACATATTTAAAATATAAAATTAGTGAGTATGTTTGAACATGTTACAGTAATGAAGACTAATTACTGACATAAACATAACATTCCAAATGAGTGTAAATATATAAATAAATATTAAAGTATAAATATTCGCCTAAGAGTTCAAACTAAAAGACGAGATCTCCATTGAGTCATTTGATCTGTTTACTAGTCATAGTTGTCAAATTTCTAAACAGTAACAACACACATTATTAATGAATGTTATCAAACTATGAAGTACAGAGGTTTTTCGAACACCAATAGTTGGGCATGATTTACGCCAATGCGCATCTTCAAGTTAGATTCCAAACAAGTGACGAGTCCCGCACGGAGACGAAACGACGTTTCAACGCCCTCTGTTTTCCAATGTTTGTCTAGTTAGAGTATATATATATATATCCTATCAAGCATGAAAGTTCCTGTAATCAAAGACACATGAAAATTACCATGAAGGATGTTTTTCTGTTTCAATTCATCAGTTGTAGGACGTTGATTAAGTCGACGCTCAAGTGACGCTTCAATATCAATTCGCAGTTCAGTACGTGCTTCTAAAGTGGTACTGGGAATTATATTTTTAGATATCAGGTCTTCACGACAAGGTCTACAGGCTAAAAGGCGATTGATGCGATCAGCTCGTTTTGTCCACATATCTTTATGCGCTTGACGAGCCTTGATAAGTGAAGTGAGAGTTTGGCAAGGTGCAGATAAATTGTAAGCATCTTCTTCATCACTATCAGAATTGTAAAAAACAAAACGACAATCTTTGCCAAAAGGATAAGCACGGTTAGATAAATGTGAGTATTTCAATGTCTGACTAATAGTAGGTATGATCTCAGCTGCTTTCGTATCGTTGGTTGGACTTGGTGATGACGATGATAAATGAGTAATTTTTGAAGTTGACAAGATTGGTGAAGGATTGAATGTAATAATTTTAACCGAATCCGAAGAACAAATACCATCAGTTTCACATTCAGCCACTTTATTACGATCAATAAGAGTCGCGCACGTTTCAGCGGTAGAATTTTCAGGTTTTGGGAATTTACCATCCTTTTGAAAAGAATGCATGAAGGATTGTGAGTTTTTTGAGCATTTACTGGGAGATCTGTACATACACAACATTGAGTTTGGACAATGTTTCATATTATTGGAGGAAACGTAAAGATCCGAAGCTGGTGAGTCGCAATGGAGATTGTCCGTAGAATCTGATGAAAATACAGACTTAGAATATGTCTCACCGTTCACAAGACGTCCTACCAAATACAAATCTGATTTAGATATGGGCACAACCATCATATTGCAAGCGGGGGACGAAGTCTTTACATTTCTCTTATTGTAACAAACTGCATTTATTCTAAAAGCGTACAAGACAGTAATGCAATGAATAATGTACAAAGTATTATTTAAAAGGTACTGAAATACGGAGTATCGTAAACGATGAAGCATTGATTTAGGATTCTCTATCACATAAAGTTTAAGATATAGTAGAAATATCCAGTTAATTTAAAAACTCACACTACTTCTGTCAAGTGCTTAGACCGTTATGAATGATAGATAGATTACTATCCACAGAGTTCTAGAATTGGGCATCGAAGTGAGTGCGATATCATAATCAACATGATTGCGCGAATGAAGGCTTCAAACACTTAGAAAATTCTCAGAGTGATGTTGATAAGGACGTCTTCCAGCATGGCAGAAAGCATTGTAAACCATAGGATAGTAAGCAGTTTTGAGATTCTGAATACTGAAGTCATATTATTCCACATGAAATAAAGCTGCTTTTATTAAAATGAAGTCATTGTGAAAGCGATAGAGTCTTGAGGTTTGAGTAACCTATGGATAACATATAGAGGTCAATACGATGGTTTAAATACCTGAAGTATTAAGTGAAAATCTAGTCCCGAGCATATAAAAAATCATATTGAAAACCTTTTAATAACTCTAACAACCATATGGAAGCAGTGCTTAACGTAAATTACACTGAGTTAAATACTTCATCATAACCTATTCACTTAAAAATTTTCAGCTTTTAAAGTACTAGACTTTCAACAAACAGGACACTGATTCCCCTTCATATCTAAATAGTACTGTATCTAAATCTCAGAAGAAACAGTAAAATCTGAATGCTGGTACATCCACCTAACGAGTTCCAAGTAAGACAAGATGTACATCCCGGTTTCAAATACGTAAGAAAAACAATTGAGATCATAAAGCGATCTGAGTTAGACCACCAATGAAAGCCTAGAAGCACTGGATCCTAGCATGTGACTTCTTAGGGGTGAACATTCACGATCCCACACGCGTAAATCGAACCCAACACCTTCGATTTTGCACGCGAACGCTTAACCCATAGACCACTGAGCCGGTATTCAGTGGTGTAAAAGTCTAATTTCAACCGGTCAATGGCATCGCACGAATATCTTCCACTGTATAAGGTAGGTAACTACCTCACACCCGACACGGATTAGTTTCATCGGTCACGGCTTTTCACTAGAACTCCGGAAATTTCTACTGACAGCTAGTCACTAGTAAGCACATTATGATTTTCTGTATGGGGTTGTGAAGGTTATTGAATTTGATTGTTGGTGGTCTAACTAGGAACGGTTTATGATTTCAGTGACATTCAACAATATCCACAACCCCATACCGAAAATTTGTAAGAAAATTTTTAATTTATAAAAGACTAATTATAGCCTATCAAAACAAAATTACCATTATGTTTCAGGAAAAACCCAGTATGATTATGACAACAGCATATAAATCATAATGACTTCAAAAAATTGTAATAATTGAGAATATTATTTGAATAATATTAGTCTAATTTTTTTATGAAAACATATAAACGAGCGTATAACTTAGTTAAATATAAATTTACCATAATAAACAACCTAAAAAACTTGAAAAATAGTAAGAAAACAGCTTAATTACTTGGATTTATCGATATTTGTTTGGTTAGATATTTCAGAAATGCGAGTTAAAACATTTCGGCTAACCGGTGTCAATTGAGGATAGGTTACTTGGTGACTTGTTATATATTTTTTTATTCTATTTAACTTTTTAAGAGGTTGAGATGATTGAGTCATTAAGCGTTGCTTGATACTCGAAGCTAATTCAGTAGTCTGCTCTCCGACATAAGTATTCAATTCACCCATAGGATTATCGGCTTCGGTGAAGTGGGATTGAGTTACAGAAGTCTGAATAACATATCATAATCGAACCAAAAATAGGGCTTACAGAATAACAAGGACTAACATGTGGTTCAAGATGAACTATTGGAATAGAGCATTTTTCTGGTTGGTAGTTGCTTTCAAGAGAGCATGATTCTAGAAAAAAAAAAGAAAAAGCACTCACATCGTATTATTCTACAGAATGTGATACATAACTAACAAGAACTTTTCACCGACGAGGAAACTTGATGATCATTTATTTGTTGTAAGTCAGTCACTGGGAACAAAAGTCCATAACAAACATCAACACGTAGATTCATGCAAAAGGTTGTGAACCTAATCTATTAGGTAAGGGTTACTGATACTTCGATATCTGAATAGATCGGGTTAGGAACCATGATCCAATGGTAGAAAGTTGATTAACTAGACATGTGAGTTGAAGCTTATCAAAATTAACAAGTGGGAGAAGATAACACAGATAATTATCATTATTAGGCCCACTCAACTTATAATAAATTTTAGGAAGGTTGTATAAAGTATCTCTGCTAAGGAAACCACTATTTATATACAGTTTTTCACCAGAAAGAGAAGCTCCTAATCAAGAGATTAGTTAACACCTCTTGGAATAAACCCTTTAAAAAAATACTTAGATCATTTTATTATGACAACTGAAAAGACGAAGTCATGCAAATTCTATTCACCAGAATCCTACATAATTCATCTTCAGCAGAGATTCAATCCAAAAACTTTTATGCACGTACAGCACATAAGTTGTAACAAATTATCAACAAAAAGCGACGTAATAATAGTGTAGTGAACGAGAACGCAAGTAGGGACAACCGAATGTATTTGAACACACAGTTACATAACATCTTAGTAAAATCTAAGAACGATACGATAAATACTTAGTTTGCGAAATGTCAATCAGTCGTCTCAGACTTCATTGTTTCTTCGCTTACACAGCAATTATTTCCTGTTCTTTTCCTCTTTTCGCCGATCTTCTTAACCTTCTGCTGCCAGGCATTTCACTTTCGATTGATGATACATACTACTTATATCTGTCGACATCAGTAACACACACCACAATAGCATCAAGAGTACAAATATTATTACCAATATACCCAGTGGTATGATATAAAACTAATTGTAAAATCCAAGATTTTTTCACAAAAGAAAACTATGATTAGAAGGCAAAGCAGTACACTACAAATATATTTTTTCATATTAAATTATCAATGAACATGGGATAATACATTCAGTAAAAAAAGGTATTCGCTTGTAAAAGTGCACAATAAATCTACAGTTTAACTCATAAGTGAACCCAATATAATACAATAAAACGAGTGTTTTAAGTTATCCAGCATGAACCAAAAAAATGTATTTTCTTTAGATTGAATTTTAACTCACAATAACAATATATAAAAATTATTTAAAAAAATTCCGACTAATAATAATGAAGTAACCGATGAACTCAGCTCGAAGAAGATTGACCGATTTAGGAGCTGGGTTAAACTAGTACAAGTATCTTGGGCTTTTATCACGATCCTATAAGAAGACTAAAATTATACATACCACGCGGTTTTTTAGAACCGTGAAATGATTATGTTGATGCGATTCTTCGCGAGCAAATTAATTAGTTAATATATTTAGTCAACATGACACTTTTCTAACGAAATGACACATATAAAAAACAATATTGAAGACAGATTCTCATTATAGTATATTGAAAACAAACACGAAAAGATATTATATATATATATATATATATATATATATATATTGCCCTAGGTGACTAAAAGGATTCACATTTGATTGAAATTAACTGACAAGAATACGTTGTCTGTATACCCTTATGTTATGAATTTATGGTTATGATGAAAGAATTATTGTTTTTTGTCACAAGTAAATCAACGACAGATTATGTGGAGTCACTTAACTTGATCACCTCACAGCATATTGCCAAGTGATTGTATTTGCACACAGTTTCACCAATAACATTTACCAGTTTGGTACAATTCTGTTATGAAACTCTGGGACAAGAATTGTTTAATGGGACAAAACATACCTTATATGTCGAGGAATAAAGTGAATTAAGGCCTGTTAAATAATCATTTGTGTCATAATTTGACACAGAATGAAGATATAACCAGAAACTTTTTAGTTGAACTGGAAGGATATTTAGTACTCACTTGGGACTCAAAGACTTTTAATTCTAAAGTTTCAAATGATCTATCAAACAAACAAATTCGTACTTGATCACTGTGTGATCAAGGGTGACTTTCATACTTCAATTATCACTTTAATCTATATAATAATCCTCAGTTAATGATTTCCGGATAATATATACAACGAAATTTACTATGAACAAATTTCGGAAAGATATCAAAAGCTGAAAGCAAAGAAATTGCTTATCCGATTAGCCATTTCAAGAATCAGGGAGAAACGTCTTGTCGTTCAAAAAAGGAGAATATTCAGAACGAGAAGAAATACAAGTCAGTATATTCATCAAGGTTTTTCATCTATGGGAGACGAATGTTTTCAGGATTTTGGGTAGGTTTTGTGATTTTAAACATATTCTAAGTATATTTGACAGAATCCTGAACTAAGACAGCCATTAAATTTAGAATCGGATAGATTTCCTAATACAGAGGCATGTCTTGTAATTTGTGTGGATTATACTTCACTAATATATTTATTAAAACTAATAAGGTTGCAAGTCAAAAGGGTGGTGAAAATTTAAAAAATAATGTTCCTCCTGAAACATCCTGCAGTTTCACAAACTAAGGGTTACATAAAAATTGTATGATATTGAAACATGTGATGTATTGAGTTGTGACGTCCGGGAGAAGTAAATTCGATCACCGGCTGAAGTGTTGCAGTTCAACTTTAACTATTAGCAGTTTGGAACCAAGAAACATTTGCAACTGCAGTAGGAGTAAAATATCTTATTCTCAGATACGTGAGAAAGCAGGATTTAAAGCAGATTAGGGTTATAACTTCGTGTAGCTGTATGTTTTTGAATAACTTACACAACATATTTCACTTTCACTTACTATACCAAAACTGTTTGATATTAAAAAATTAGTCATACAAGACAAAATTTCGACAAATAAATTAGACAAAATAATAATAGTACAAACACATACAGTTAAAATAACAGCGATTCCGCTCAAGATGGGAACGCTTAATGGCATGACCTCTACTGTACGGAAACACGTCGCTTAACATCGATGCTGCTTAAAAAGCATTATCATCGGATTTGAGTAGTCCTTTGTGGACAGAGATAGTACAATAGAGGCGTTAAATATATTCAGCGGAAAGATTTCACGCGCCACAAGAATAAAGGAAAAATGATTGAACAAAAGCGCTGAACATTAATTGTGTGATATCCTTAGTGTGATGGGTACAAGAGGTCTGCATGCTAATTAATGACACCTAGTTTCCCATACATTTTTCTAAATTTCGCTCATGTCCTTGAGAACAGGCACAGTAAACCATGAGATTAGATATCTTGCGGTGTTTTAGGACTAAAGCTTGTTTGTGCACATCCACCACAAAATGAACTAGGGTTCGTTGGCTGAGGAATTCGGTCGCAGTGGCTAAATGAGTGGGCTTGAAGTCATCCATACATAGTTTTTCACCTATTTGAGGACCTTCACTATGCCAAATTAAATTCAAAGTTTGGGTAAAGCTAAAATTCTTGATACCAGTAATTTATATGAGCTAAAGTAACTCATAAAAATTGACCAGACTCAATTACTTATTAGTGCATTGTAAATCCAGCTAATGGTCAACTGGGCTTTCTAGTAAATCAACAACACTGAAAATAGCTCGATACAACGCTTGGTTTCATCGCTTGATGAGGTTTTGAAAGACGGCCTTGAGACAATAGATTCACTTAACAACTTTAGCTAAAACCTCCTCTCATTTCATATTCATAATGTTGAGGATGGAAAGTCTCGTCTAAGATTGCTTAGATCACCAAGACACGGCACTTGTTTTAAAACTAGTTCCTTTTTCGAGTTTTATTCGATGTCTATTTATAGATACCGAATGAGAAAAAATTTGTACAATGCATTGACACTATTAAGTCTTAGTTACAGGTACTTGCAAATAAAAAGATCTCATACCTTCTTAAAAAACAACTTCAAAGTATATATTTCCATCTAAAACAAAAACACATACTGCGATACTTGTGAATTTTGAAGAAATCACTATATGACATCAAAATAGATCTGATAAACATGATTGAGTAACATCAAGGTAACAATTCACTAAGTGGATTCTAAATAAATGAAACACTCAACTAGGATTTGAAGTACCAGTCCTTCAAAAAAAACGAAACTCAAAAGCGCGATCCAACGATTACAGTTCTTATTTGCATTCACCGTAATAATTGAGCGTGTTGATCGCTTCACTTATCTTGGAAGTCTCATCAGCCCTTGTGATTGGTGTGTGACGAAATCTCAGCACGGATACAGAAGGCTCGACTAGCTTCTGCCAACTTGCTTCATTTATGGAGTAGGCAAGATATCCGTCTATCAACCAAAGAACGTGTTTTTACTGCGCAGCAGTTCGTTCCATTCTACTTTATCGCTGTGAAACATGGCCGGTAAGAGTATAGGATATTCGTAGGCTACTAGTATTTGATCATAGGTGTCTTCGAAACATTGCTCGTATATCCTGGGACCATCGAGTAAGTAACGCAGTTGTTAGGAAACGGGTACTAGGTAAGGATGGCAAATCGATTGATGAAGTGGTGAAACTTTATCAGTTGAAATGGCTGGGACACGTGTTACGTATGCCCAACGACCGACTGCCTCGACGTGCGATGTTCAGTGGTATAGGAGTAGGTTGGAAGAAAGCTAGGGGCGGCCAGACCAAAACATGGCACAAGTCCATGAAGTCACTGACAAGTGGACTGAGTCATGTTGGTAGGTGTAGACTACCTGGTTGGGGACCGCGAGATGATAGCAACCGATGGTTAGAGACCCTGAATGACATGGCTCAAAATCGTTTGCAATGCCGCAGGTGCATCCACTCTTTGTGTTCTCCCAAATTCTAATCTCCTGATTCCTCTTTGTCTCTTTTTTTCTCTTCCCAAATTTATTTCACTGGATTATACTCTTTAAATAACGTCTCAAACCCTAATTTTCCTGATTACTGTTTATACTCTTATTACCTCTACCACTATGGGATTTGAATCGACCACTGCATCTCTGTGCTAATGTGGTATGGCAACTCTAACTGATGTACGTACGTACGAAGTTCTACGTTGTTATTGACTGACTGACTGACTGACTTAAAGCAGTGACCACAGTGCGATTCATGCAATTTGTTGATGCTTGTGATGAGGCAAGAAGTTAACATACACCGTAATAAGTTTCTATGCATACTTACCATCAACTAGGAGTGAGCTCTTTTGAACTAAAACAAAAAGACCAAATATTGCGAAATTTGAGTAAGCTGATAAAATTAAACTAAAGAGTCGTGGTACAATGTTAAGTACTAACCTGAATTGGAGCATGCCGAATCTGCGAGAATTTTAAGACCACCATTTGTGTTTAAATCAACCCTGGAACTACCTACCAGTTCAGCAGAAGGCAAATGTTTATCCGAACGTTTCTTGCCATTGTGATTGAGACGCCTAAATGGACTAAGAAACATATGCGCCAAGCGCTTTTGCTTTGTAGAAATATTTGATACAGGACTATCAGAATGACAGATTGTGTGCGCTGCCATAGTTTAGTAAAGAGAAACAGTAACGCTAATTTTGTAAATAGATCCTAGGTCGCTTTTTATGTCCAATTTATTTGTGAAATGACTTCGGCGTACCTATTCATGATCTAAAGATAATGTTTGACTGATCCCATTCAGCCAAGGTTTGACAGTGAAACCAATGATATCATCATTAGTGGTTCAAAATGGTTCAAATGGTTGTGGACGGAATAGAAGAAGCTTTCGCTTAACAGGCTTCCGTGTCTAGTAGCAGGGATCACCAAATCCTTCAGGCAGGAACCTAGGTATGTTAACAATAAAAAAGGAAAAGAAATTGGTAAATCATAATGTGATGCTGTCCTTGGTCCTTAAGAATAGGTCAAGTTGCCTCTTGAAGGACTCCTGAGAAGTCGTTTGGACTAGCTCGGCCGGTAGCGAATTCCAGCTTTTGACAACTCTTAAGGAGTAGAAGTTGTGTCTACATTCCGTCTTGCTATGTTGTGTTTCCAGTTTCTGGGTGTTACCCCTTAGGTTATTATTCGAACTAAGCTTAAGTAGGTGTTTAAGAGGATGTCCAGAAGTGTTAAGAATACTATAAGCCATTAGTAAATCACCTCTAAGACGCCTATATTCTAGTGGGTAAAGATCTAGTGAACGGAGGCGTTCTTCGTAAGGTTTAGATTTGAGTCCTCGAACTGATTTCGTGGCTCGCCGTTGGATACGCTCCAAAGTGACCTTGTCGTTTTAGAGTGAGGGGGGGAGTACTATGTTTCCGTACTCTAAATGGGGACGGATGAAACTATTGAAGATTGTATGGAAAGTTCGTCCGTCAAACTGTCCAAAAATGCGCTTCAACGTTACCAGTGCAAGGTTTGCTCGGAAGGCATTTTTGTCACAGTTAGCGTAAGACTTTAAGTCATGGGGCACCAGGACTCCTAAATCTTTTTCGACTTGGGATATTACTAGAGAGGAGTTTCCTAAGTTGTAACTGTAGTTTGCGACATGTCGCAGATGGACTACTTTACACTTTGAAGTGTTAAAGGTAAGTCCGTTATCGTCTGCCCAACTTTGAAGTCGAGTCAGATCCTCTTGAAGTGCCTGTATATCGTCTTGGTTGCGTATCTCTCTCCAAAGTTTCACGTCGTCGGCAAAAAGTAATAAGTCTGACGTTACCTGTTGAGGAAGATCATTTATGTAGATCAAGAAGAGAAGAGGCCCTAGTACTGAGCCCTGGGGGACCCCACTAGGACATTCCATAGCCTGAAATAAAGTGAAATTAACCCTAACCTTAAAGTGTCGATTTTTTAGGTATGAAGTAAGCCAATCGATTAGAGGTGGTTTGATACCTAGTCGTTTGAGCATGTTGATAAGACACAAGTGGTTAACCTTATCAAAAGCTTTTGAGAAATCAAGGTAAATGACGTCAATCTTTCCCTTGCAATCGAGGATGCTTGTCCATTTGTCCACCGCAGTCAGCAGGTTGGTTATACAAGAGTAACCCTTCCTGAAACCATGCTGTTGGGGTGAGAAGAAATGTAAGGACCGTAGATAGTCATTTAAACCGTCGCATATCAGGGACTCCATGAGTTTTGAAGGTAATGACAGAAGAGCCACCGGCCGATAACTTGAAGGTTCATTGCGTCGACCACCTTTGAAAATTGGTGTGATGTGAGCCAACTTCCAGTTTTCCGGTAATTTGCCTCGGCTAAGCGAGTGTGAAAACATCACGCTAAGCGGCGTTGCCAGGATTGAGGCTGCCTCCCTCAGTATGGCAGGATGAACCATGTCCGGGACAGGAGAAGTGTCAAGTCTTAAGTGCTGCAATTTCCGGAACACCAAGTCAGCGCTTAGGTCCACTTCGGAAAGTCCTGTGGAGTTGGAGATGAAAGTGTCGTCAATAAAGTTGATGTCAGCCGGTTGAAATGTTTGGGAGTAATGGGCCGCCAGAAGGTTAGCGGCGTCGCCATCGTTGTTGGTCGGGCCGTTAAGACCTAGCAGTTGAGAAACTCCTGTTTTGGCTTGACGAAGAGAGGCTGCATAACGGAATAGGCTTCTAGGGTTAGAGGCGAATTTGTCCATAAGCTTTGTTTGGTACTGAAGCCTGTCTTCTCTTATAGCCTTCGTGCATGTGTTCCTGATATGTTTGTATTGCCTATACGCTCCATCGTTATTAGTTCGTTTGTATTCCGCCCAACAGTGCCGTTTGCGGCTTACGAGGCGAAGGGTACGGTTCTTGATTACTGTAGGTGGCTTGAAGCTTTTGGGAACCGTTTGAGGAACTGAATGGTCTGTAGCACATAAGAGCGTGTGCAGTAAGAAGTCCCAATGACCATCCACATCGATTTGAGGGTGAACATCCCAAACCACCTGTTGTAGATAGTCATGTAGAGCTGGCACATTCAGCCGTTTAAAATTCCAACGCAAATTATTGTTGGGATACCTTAGCTTAGTTTTGATGACAAAACTGAAGGCTATGACGGCATTATCGCTTTTTCCCAGAGGAGCCAGGATTGAGAGGTTGTCGACTAGGAATTCTTCGTTAGTGAATTCACGGTCTAAGCGCGATGGTGTCTGACTGTTTCTCCAACGAGTTGCCGACCTCACATTTTCATATAAGCCCAAGTTATCGATAAGGTTGAAGAACCGAGCTTCAGTTGACTTGTCGCCTCCAGTGTACGTGTGTTCCGCGAAGTTGACTGTAGGGAGATTAAAGTCCCCTAGAATCAGGATGTGTGTGAAACCGAGACGGATAGAGCGGGATAGTCCTTCCAGCATACGACTATCGTACTCGGTGTCGGCAGTTGGCTTCCTGTAAATGACTCCGACTAGACACCTGGAAGTACTAGACAATCTTACAGAGCACCATATGGGTTCCTCAAGATTGTTAAACTCGAGGTTGTAAACCTGGTGCACCTCCAAGCAAGAGCTTATGTATATGGCTACTCCGCCCCCAATTCCTGTTTTTCTGTCGTTGCGGAACAAAGTCATCCCAGGCAATGCTAACTCTTGGTCCGAGAACTGAGAAGATATCCAGGTTTCAGATATTCTTATCAGATGGGCCTTATTAGAGTTGCTAAGTTCACGTAGTTCATCCAGTTTGTTTGGTAGACTCGCGGCGTTCATATATAAGCAGTTTATGCTTTCAATTTGGAACGCGTGAGCTTCGTCCTGTTTTTCTGTATGAACCTTATGTGAATGGACAGGTAGCCCACCTATGTGAGGTTTGCCGAGGTGGTAGGCCCTGTCCTTTATACGTTTTTTTTATCGTTTAGACAGTCCACAAGTGGAATGGTCAGCTCCAACTTGCCTTTGTTCTTGGTCCTAACTTCGTATGGCCTATCCGGGTGCATGTGGATTCCAGGTGGCAATCGACGTCTATTAGCACGAAATGCTTCCAGAACTGCAGCCGCCATGTGGGAAGATGAGAAGGTTATCTTCATTAGACGGGATCTAAGATCACCGTCCTTTTTGGCTAATCTCGTCACATGCTGAGTCAGTATGTGTTTGAGCCTCAAGGACTGTTTGATGAATTTCCATTCCCTGATGTCAGAATTTGATTGAGTAGGGTCTGCATTTTCCGGTATACCTTGGACAATTATGTTTCTTCCGCGGAAAAACTTCTCGCGAGATTCTTTAGGGACGTTTCGTATGATACTACGCTCAGAGTACGGTATGTCGGGCAGTATTCTTACGTTACCATCTGATTTCAGCAAGTGGCTTGCTAGCAAGACGTCCTCTACGTCGGTAGCATCCTTAAGTGTTACTCGGAGAAGCCTCGGGTGATTTAGATGCTTAGAATCCTTTCCTCGAGTGAACCGGGTGACCGTCAAAGGCTCTATTCTAGGAAGTTCGAGCTTCTTGTTCAATTCACCCCAGAGCATCCTGTCGTTCTTGTCCTGCAGACTGAGAGGAAGATCAGGATTGTCAACGAGGTTCATGATAATGAGAGAATCGTCACGAACTGTTGTTAATTTACCAGGTTTCACGATGGGTTCAGGTTTAGTAACTTGTTGTTTGGAGGTCAGTGTGCGTTTATGAATCATGGGCTCTTTATTGACCGGACGAACAGTCTTGGGGATAGACTGTGCGACTAAATCACCAGTTATTTTCCGTGCAGCAACACTTGGGTTGCTCGGCTTAGGCGGTGATGCCTGGTTCTTTTGGGCTCTCTTAACGTGGGTCGAATCACCTGCAGGGTTTTTGGCAACCACTGTTGTGTTCGGGGACCCTGAGCTGGGAGACCCGAGTTTGCCTAGGGAGTTCAGTACCGTCGACGTAATGATGGTACTGAGCCTCGACACGTCGTCGTTAGTGTTGATGGATGCTCCATCGATGGAATACCTATCGACATCCCTGTTTTTGAGTCCGTTGCACGCTCTTGTTTGTATATCAGTTTTTTTACTATCGTTTTCCAAGTTAACTGACAACTTGTTCCGAAGACCTGTCAGTAAGACAATGATGTTACTCAGCAAGACTACGGAGTCTGTGTTGCACGTGACACACACCCACTTTTGCTCTGACTTGCTGAGTCTGTTGTAAGCAGTTGCTGTCAGATCTGTGCATGGTTCGTGGAACCAACCTTGGCAATTTTCGCACTGCATGCCAGTTGTGACAGCAAAACGGCATCCCGGACGTTTGCATGAGTTTTTCATGACGGTGTTGAAGCAAATTGTTATAGATGCTTGCAAGAGCCTAAGACCTTTAAAAAAAACACTAAAAAGCACACTGAAAACGGACAAAAATCGACAAAACGAGTGATATAAACTGAAACTAGTCTATACATGAAAAACAAAAAAAACCGAATAGTAAGCTGAGGCAAAACCACAGGTAACTATTAAATATAGTGAAACTCAAAAAAAGTGATCTACTGAACGTATAGCTCAGGATAGATTCTTTAGAACTGAAATGGTACTTTTGTTGCATAAGAACACAGCAAAAGTTTGATAAATGCAAATCACGTTAGGACTAAACTTCCCGTTCGAAAAGCGCGGTCAATGATCAGTTGTAAAGAACTATTTATTTCAAGTATTTGGGAGGTAGGGTGTATCATACTAGCATT